TGTTAGAGAGTGGTGGAGGAGGATCCCGGTGACACAGGCTATAGACCAAGGGGAAAGGACTCACAGATGTGGCAGACTGTGGAAAGGGTGTCATCAAGAAACCCCAGTTGAAGGCATGGTAGTGGGAAGTCTAGAAAATATAGGAAACCAATCCATATATGCAATTTCCTCGGCCCTCACCACTTGGTGGTTGCTCACCAAACAACTGGTTAATAAACTCTGGAATATCAGAGACATCCCAGAACACTGGAAGACAGCTATGCCCTGCCAGTATTTGTAAAGAGCAAACAGAAGACCTGAAAGTTTCTAGGCAAAGCAACAAAGGGCTGATATGAGATTCTCCAGTTAATGCCAATCAGCCTGATTTGGAGGAAACTGATCTTGCTGCATAAACTTGTTTTGTTCTTGTCAGTCTTTGATGTGACTACAGGTTTGTTTGGAAAAGGTGATGCCTTAGATCTATCAAGGCTTCTGGAAGCATTAATATCCCAAATTGTTGATCAGAAAAGCATTGTGCAATATTAACAGATCAGGAGGTTAAGTGAGCTGGCTAACACCATTTAACAACCTGCAAATGCAAAGGAGGTCGTCCCTGGAAGCCTACCATTGAGTGACAGCGTTTCTTATGTGAATGCCCAGGAATGAGTCCTGGGTCAGGTATGACTCACCATTTTATTCAGTGCTTGGTGAGCAGATATAGCTCATTCTGACACAATTTACTGAGGACACAATTATTGTTAGAGTGTTGAAAATAATGAGGATGGGGCCAGCACAGAATGACCTACCACACTCGGAAAGGTGGTCATTCTCATAACACTTCTTATAAGATAGTCGAGAGTAAATTGTACAGCCACGAGCAGGAAAGAATGTCTGGATCTACAGAGAACAACTTCCAGCCCTAAACAGAGATGCTCTGAAAAGGATTTAGGGATCGTAAGAGGCAGAAAACCCAACACAAGGCCAGTGGGCCAGACTATAGCAATGGATCTGAAGTGATCCCTGGCCATGCAAAGACAGAAGTAAGGGAGAGAAGGGAGAAGTTGATTAAACCTCTCTCTGTGTCTGAGTAAGTCCCATGCTGGAAAACTCTACACCATTTCATGCTCCATATTTTAAAAATAACTTTGAATCAAAGGAGATCCAAAGGCTGGAGATCTCAGTAATTTAAAGAGGTCAACCTGTTTAATGTATCAAAAAGCAGAACAAGACATGACTTGCTTGCAGTATCACTTCCTTCCTGGGGAAAAGTCTACCAGGTATTCTGGCAGAGAATAACAAGAGACAGTCACTGGAGAGTGATTAATCACAGAAACAAACTACCAAGGGAAGTGCAAAATCCTCTCTCTTCTGGAGTCTTTGAATCACGACTGGAGGCCTGTCTGGAAGACAGTTCCTGGTCTGCAAAATCCTGAGGGCTCAGAGAGCGGATCAGAGGAAGAGTTACCATGCAGTTACCCTCTTTTGTAACTCCTCTGTAAGCAGCTGATACTGGGCTGCCTTTAAGTGTAACTAGGTACAGGTCTTAGGACCCTGTGTGCATTAACCCAGTACAAGTTATAGAGTTAAAAACCTTCTGGATCATGTTGGTATCCAAGCAATTCACCCCAGCCTCCTTTGTCCTTACAGTGTTTTTGTCTTGGAGTCTGTGTTACACACAGTTGTGAAAAACCGTCTCAGAAGATGTGACACTAGCTACATTTGGAGAAGGACTGGGGAAAAAAATATCATAAGTGTTTTGACAAGTTATCTGGATTCTGCGGTGGTGAAACAACCTAGAACGAGACAGTACAGCTCTACAGGCTTTAAAGTGGGACAGCAAGCGCATAGGAAAGAAGGTGGATCTACAGCGCAAAGAGAATGGAGGTTTCTTTCTGGAAAGATCAGAGAAAGATCAGAAGGGAGAGATGATGCTGGGGTAGCTACAGCAAGGGTTAGAGATCCTAAATATTCAGAAATAACAATGCAGAACCTTCCCATGTCACAAGATTTATCTTAAAATTATGAAATGTTGTAAAGACTTGCTTTCATCTGCGCTCCTCGCCTCCTACTTTCGACTCTTTAGGTTACATGAAAATCACATTTCACAGTTTCCCTGTGACCATAAAGATAGGCATTTGCTTTGTGAACAAAGTGAAAGCATGGGAGTTAATGACTCCAGGAGTCTGGAATTTAATCTCAATACCTGATGTAGGGACGAGGCAAAGACTTTGCTAAATTGTGGGGGTGTTACCATGCACTCTCACAAGAGCTTGTATATTTTAGGAAGACCTCATCTGGAGAGCTCAGGATCTTATTCACTCAAAAGACATTCTGGTCTTTGCCCTTGTTATAGCTCTATGCAGGACAAAGAAGCAGGAGACAAAAACGTGGAGACCCAGTACACAGGACACAGGACCTAGAGGTCGGAGTGGAGAAAGAGGACAGAGAGAGCATCATGTAGCTAGGATGCTCAGGCTGCCTGGCTTTGTCTGACTAATAATGAAAGGCACCAAGCGTGTCAGAGAGTGTGAGAGAAACAGATCAATAGAGAGATAAAACTGAGATGGAAGGAGCTGGCGAGGGGGTGGGGAAGAGAGTAATAATCCACTACAAATCAGCCAGGTTACATCTGAACCTGATTTGAATGCACTCTGCGCTGGTGTAAGTGAATGCAGGCAGGGGTAAGGCTATGGTGAATCAGACCCAAATACAGAAGCAGAGAGGGAAAAGTAGGAAGGAGATAGTCCTTTTGTTAACGCTGCCCTGTAGGCTGCCTTCACAGTTCTGGCCCAACCTTACAAACCCTGCCCCTCTTTTAATCCTGCTGTACGCAGAAGCCCAGACCTTGCTAGCTCTGAGAACACAGACTGAGAGCCTTTCCCTGCTTCCCTGGGCCACGGTGATCTTCAGTCTGTTCTGAAGGTGTGTCTGTTGGTAACATGTGTCTTGGTCACATTTTACCCAACCTAGTGCAGGAAATGCTCCTTGCCACCCTGTTCCTGAAGGACCTGGGGCAGGACAGCTTCTGACAGTGCCTGGAACCAGTAGGTTTGGGGCACTTTTCTGGGAGGCATGACTGACTGTGCCCACACATATGTACCAATGGAAGCTGACCTGAGAAGACTCATTGTTCAGCTCCAGATTTTTGAGGCAAATGAGTCTGAGACATCCCAAAGCTAAGGAAATATCAGAGCATGTAAATGAAAACGTGCTCTATCAGCACAGGACTGAGGGTCTGGGTACCTTCTCCTGACAGAGTGCCTGTTTGCCTCCCTGGCCCAGGCACTCTGAGATGTTTTGCTCCTTCTGCCTGGAATTAGTTTTGAGTGACATCCACCTAACACTAGAGGAATGACCATTAATGTTAGAAGTTTGGTTTTCCACACTGACCATCACTGTCCACATTGCTCACCTATGTCAGCAGCCTCAGAGTGGAGACCAAGCACTGAAGGAGCCTCAGGGATGGAAGGGACCCTGAGAAGGGGTAGGGATAACACATATGGCTGTTCAAATGAGCTTGGAGCAACCTCTCACTGGGACACACAATGACCTAACTCCCGAAGGTAGCCACGGGTTGGATTTTCTAGCTCTAAAATTGTGATTGGAGCAGTACGGTGCCCCAAAGAAGCCTTCTCCACGACTCAGCCACAGCAGCTGCGTGAGAAGAACTGGACTCAAAGCAAGTGATCAGAAGAGGGTTGTTGATACTGGCAAATAAAATCTTAAGCAACTTAGACTTCACCTAGATGAAGATTTCAAGATGTTATGCTTATTTCAAGATGTTACGCTTACAGAAGTCTGGCAAAGCACAAGTCAAATGCCTTTAAGACATGCTAAACTGATCAAGCTCAAGGCTGATTGCCTTGCTGGCAATCACGTACTGGAGTGCAAACTTGCCCAGACAGCACTAAGATTTTAACATGCTAAAACCATGTTGCCTGCACAGACTACATTGGGCTCACATCAATTTCTTGCCTCCTTTGTTTCCATGGAAAAACACCCCTGATTTCTAAAGGAGCCAGCCACAAGGAAGTTGGTGCCAGTGTAGAAACTCCTGGCCAAATGGCTTAATGCTGCTTATTGAAATGAGTGTTTGCTCACTGTGCTCCTCCCAGTCCCCCTTACAACTCACCTCTGCCTACCACATGATTTATACAAGACAAGAAGAACTATGAAGGTTTCTTCCGAAATGACCCTCACTTTTTAGTCCCATGGTTGTAAAACCAGCTCTTTCAACCTAGCACTGGGAAGCGTACCCTCACTGATGCCTCTTGATCACATTACACTAACTCATTTGCCCACCAAGAGATACTTAAAGTATACCATAAACATTTGTATCCTCGTGGAGTGTTTAAACTGTCTTTTTATGGCCATACCCTGCCTGCACCAGGGATGCATTTCTTGACAAGTGCAATGGTTAATGATTCAGCAGATAGTAAAGCAATTTTTTTTTTTTTCGTAAAAATTAATGCAGTAGATGAGGCGATGCATGCAAGGATTTAAGAAACTCACAGTTTAAATATGTAAGTACAGTGCTTTGCAACATAAGGGTTTTTACATTTAGATATCCCCAAAACACTGCCTGAAATAGTGAGATCTTAATGGTGTGAAAGCAGAGCAAAGACAAGAGCGATGTGTAGGCACACATAAGGTATTCTATGCATCTCTTTTAATTCTGGTGCAGTACTTACAGAATATATCGTTGAAATGTGAAAAATACTGTGCCGTATGGTAGTGTGTCTCTTTCCTCATCGGTTGTTTTAACCTCAATATTGTACGGATAAAGAGTAGATGTTCACCAAAATGTATGGGAAGACCCATAAATATCCACATGGCACCCATGACCGTTACACCGGCTGCAGCTTGTTGGCCACGTTTCAGTACGACTGGGTGGCTCAGGGGGGTTTTGACAGATCAGACGGGTGGCGAGGAACATAACAGTAGGTGCTGACGGTGTGCAGGGCCGGGCACGAAAAAAGTGGTGGGAAAGGGATGACGGCGGGCGGGTGCCTGTGACCAGCATGGCCAGAGCCGGTGACAAGCCGGTGGCCACTGTCAGCCGGCGGGGGGAGGGGTACATCGGGCAGCCGGGGCAGGCCCAGCCGCCGCCTGGAAGCCGCAGGGACTGGCGCGGCAGCGGGCACCG